GTTCAGACTAAAAGCTAGAGTAGATTGATCATGCCATCACGATGACCACCAGCTGCCCCTGAGCCCAACAAATAAGTTATTTGGAAATGCTCAGGTGGCTTCCACATATCCAATCTTTTTAGGTTTGGCTCCCTCTATATCTGCTAATATAGATATCATCTCTCTTTGATCACTATCACATTTTCCCTTTCCTTCAGTTATTTTGACTCCTTCTTCTTCCCTGTCTCTCCTGAGAGAGGATCAACTGTTTTCTTTGTAAGCATTTTGTGTCTTTCATTGTACTTTCTCTCATTTCTTCCTTTCACAAGGTATCTAGCATAATCAATTTTGGGTTAAACTCAACCGATAGTCCTAACTTCAGTAGAGATGCTGAATTAATGGGCCCTATATAAGTATTGATTTTAAAGCGCTCACTTATCTCTCACTTTTGCTTCTGCTCCATCTACTATGTTATTTCCGAGGCCTAAAACATGCTTTTTCTTACTCCCTATATTTAAAATGTGAAGCAGTCACTCATTGCATGGAGAAAATTGAAAAATGCTAATCAGTGAAATGGTGGAACTACTCAAAACAAATTTTGTCTCTCTTTTTTCAGATCCTTGATATGGAATATGTGAAAATTCTTGAAGAACAAGCAAGGCCCCAGTAGCTCCAACTTCAATAAGGAGAAAACTGCTTAGCTTAATGTCCATACCAAGAAAAGCTCTAGAACCAATAATAAACAGTTTGGCTGTGAGCATTTAGAATTGAATGCTGTGGTCATGAGGAGACAGCATGGGTTTTGCAAAAACAAGTCATGGCAGACTCCATTTAAACAAGTTAGAAGTCTGATATCAGGAGAATACTGTGAATGGAATGTATCTTAACTTCAATAGGGCTTTGGTGCTCCATGATACATAACTTTGAACTAGACAAAGAAGGCATTGAGATAATCAAATATTTCCTAACCATAGCTTAGTTGTTTATCAAAATGAAGAGTGTAGCCAACAAACCATAATAAGACTAGAACTTGGAAGGGCAGCTATAAAAGAACTAGACAAAATCCTCAAGTGTAAATACACCAAACATTTTTTTCCAACACCTTTATATTGTAAATTTCTATATATGGATGTGAACACTAAATAGTGAAGAAGGCTTGTAGGAACTCATGTGAGATGCAGTGCTGGAGGAGAGTTCTGTGCATAATCTGGGACCTTATCACATTAGGAAATACTCCATTTCTGAGACTGTTTGATGTGTGTGTGTGTGCGGGGGGTGGGGTTGAATGGATTGGGAAGAGCTAATCTTCTGTAGTGTGATGAGTAAAAGCGCAGTATTTTCAAATAATAAGAATCATAATAATCAGCTGTAGTGAGGAGACTATTCATGCTGTCTCAATACAGTATGCATCCAATCCCAAAGATATATGGGATGCATACTGATATAAATGGATCATATCCCAATGTGATAAGGTTCCTGGACTGCCAAATGAACAAACAAATGGGCCCTAGAGCAAATCAGCTATGAGTTCTTCCTAGAAGTCAAGATTTGAACACATCATGGGAAGGTGTAACTCAGTAGAAAAGTCCACAGTGACCAGTACGGTAGGAAAAAGGAAGAACTTATTGCAGATGGATAGATTTAATCAAGAAAGCCACAGCCCCGAGTCTGCAAGGCCTCATTTGATGGCAACCATCAACAGAGATAAAGGTTCTTGGTAGGTTCCAGGTACTCTGAGAGGTCATATGATTTTCTCCAAATACCTTGTGAATTGTTACATAGAAGAGAGAGCAGGCTTGCCTTTTGCCAGTCCAGAGAGCAAGGTCGGGAGCAATGGATTTAAAGTACAAGAAAATACTTTTTGACTAAATATTAGGAAGATTTTCCTAATTGTGATTGCTGTTCAACAGTAAAATGAACTGTCACACAATGTGAGGAACTCAATTGTAGGTTTTTCGGGTTGTATGGCCATGTTCTAGAAGCATTCTCTCCTGACATTTCGACTGCATCTGTAGCAAGCATCCACAGAAACATCAGGAGAGAATGCTTCTAGAACATGGCCATGCAACCCGAAAAACCTACAACCCAGTGATTCCAGCCATGAAAGCCTTCGACAATAAATGTGAGGAACTCTTCTCCACTGGAAGTTTTTAAATGGAGATTGAATGGCCATCTGTCAGGGATACTCTAATTATGGATTCTTGCATTGGTAGGGGATTGGACTGAATTGTCCTCAGGGTTCCTTCCCATACTACAATTCTATGTGTCTCCTTTTCTCAAACTGTGCTGCTTCTCTGTCCATCTCTCATATGGCATAGATTTTAAAACCTTTAGTTAGGAACTATATCTCTCGTGTTATGAACAGCATTTCATACACTAGAATCATAGAATCAAAGAGTTGGAAGAGACCTCATGGGCCATCCAGTCCAACCCCCTGCCAAGAAGCAGGAATATTGCATTCAAATCACCCCTGACAGATGGCCATCCAGCCTCTGTTTAAAAGCTTCCAAAGAAGAGCCTCCACCACACTCCGGGGCAGAGAGTTCCACTGCTGAACAGCTCTCACAGTCAGGAAGTTCTTCCTCATGTTCAGATGGAATCTCCTCTCTTGTAGTTTGAAGCCATTGCTCCGCGTCCTAGTCTCCAGGGAAGCAGAAAACAAGCTTGCTCCCTCCTCTCTGTGGCTTCCTCTCACATATTTATACATGGCTATCATATTCCCTCTCAGCCTTCTCTTCTTCAGGCTAAACATGCCCAGCTCCTTTAGCCGCTCCTCATAGGGCTTGTTCTCCAGACCTTTATCATTTTAGTCGCTCTCCTCTGGACACATTCCAGCTTGTCAATATCTCTCTTGAATTGTGGTGCCCAGAATTGGACACAATATTCCAGGTGTGATCTAACCAAAGCAGAATAGAGGGGTAGCATTACTTCCCTAGATCTAGACACTATGCTCCTATTGATGCAGGCCAAAATCCCATTGGCTTTTTTTGCCGCCACATCACATTGTTGGCTCATGTTTAACTTGTTGTCCACGCGGACTCCAAGATCTTTTTCACACGTACTGCTCTCGAGCCAGGCATCCCCCATTCTGTATCTTTGCATTTTGTTTTTCCTTCGTTGATTTATTAGTAGTTGTTATAGTCATTTAGCATTCCAGAATGTCTCCAAAGGAGATAACTGAAGGTATGTATTTGAAACTCTGCAACATATAATCCTGGAGTAGAATGCTTGTTGAAAGTCATGTGTATGGTGATTTGAGTGTTGCACTAGGTCTCTGGGAAACCAAATTTCAAATCCTTACTTGAACATGGAAACCCATTGGGCCACCTTGGGCAACTCACACTCTCTCAGTCTAAGAGGAAAGCAATGGTAGATCTCCACTAAACATTTTTTCCAAGAAAACTCTGTAAAAATCTGTCTTAGGGTCACCATTAGAAATGGACCTGAAGGCATAATAACAAAAGAACAATATAAGGGATGTTCTATAATCATCTTGGTGAACTGCTTCCTATCACAATTCTGAATTGAGGAAACTCAGGATGCCATAATCTTATTTGCTTTAAACCCTTACAGCTTTACTCATTCGGTGAATATATGTTTTGACCTCCCTTACAATATTCTATGGCAGCAGATAGCAATTACTACCCAGTGTAGCTATAATCACATCACATCATAACATTATCTAGCCAAGGAGTCTAATAAATAAGGAGATTATGAACATTCCTCCTCCCCAAAAAGTTGCTGTATTAACAAAGAGAAAGAAAGCTTCTGGACCAGTGAAAATAAGTATGTGGGTATCTTTTTGTTTTTCTAGATGGCTCACAAACTAATCCTATAAATGTTTACTGACCAGTATGTATACATGAGTTCAATGGTATTTATTCTCAGGTAAAAGACTAGGATTAAGGTCTGAAATGTAAATGTAAGCAAAGATAGTATACAGTATTTTGATATTTTCATTTAGAAATAAAATCTGAACATTACCAGGAAAGGTTTGATGTTTCTTCTTCAAAAAGAATGCTAACCTTTGGCTTCTGGAATATCACACTTAAAATAAGCAAAATACAGCATATGTTTTATTATTTCACCTGAAAACTTTGTACTTCATCAACCTCAGACTCAAGGTATGTGTTTTACATCAGAGATGGTTCTTTGCAGAAGATTTTGCTTTGCACAACACTCTTTTAACATGAGTAGACTTTAACAAGGGCCTCTGGATGTTTGGGACTATAACTTCATTCATCCCTGCTCAGAGTGGCCATGTGGTGCAACAGATCTGGATGGCAGCAGACTGGAAAATGCTGATCAAACACATCTCATCCCAACATATGTAACGGATTGAATGAAGACAGATTGTTGTGAACCAATTAAACCTTCCAGTATGAATTACTTCCCTGGGATGCTATAACATTTACTTTAAAATCAATTGATAACGTCAGGTGAAATCACTCCCATTCTTCCATAAATACAACATAGGCAATTTACTTTTAAAAGCATTTCAGTTCTTTCGCTGACATATAATCTATAGATGCCCACATTTTCCAGGTCCTTTGCGACTCGGTAAAGGTTAGAAACAATATGTCAAGTTTTCATCCCCAGAGTGATTTAAAAAATAGCTCATACAATAAATTTGTCAAAAATAATGGCAAGTAATGGAAATACTGAGACCTTTTCCAGCCCAGCAACTTTATCATGCTAATAAATACAGAGTCTATGCTGTGGGCACTCCCCTCCCCCACAAGCCCCAGGGTTTCCATTAATGTATATTGGGTAATTAATGTACAAGCTTTAGGAGACATTCTTATAGTAGAAGGCAATATTTTGGCCCCCAGCCCAAACCAAGTAAAGTGTGCATATACGTATGTGTATAGAAATCCTACCCCCTGAGTCAGATACCATACCAGATGCAAAACACAGACAGAGGAAGAGCTGAGGGAAGAATGCAGAGGGAAAAGAGTGGGGAAAGCTTGGAGCAAAGAAGAAGAAAGAAATGACATATTTCTTTCAAAATGTTATCTTACCACTTTCATTCTTCTCTATGACATCCACCACCTCTCCAGCCTGCAGGCTGATCTCCGAGTTCTCCTGTTTCTCATAGTTTGACACCACCACATACTGCTCCAGGATCATAGGTTCAGAGCTAGCGTCAGCACCTGGGGAAGGGAAAAAGCAAGCTGTGAGCCAGCTTCCAGCCATGGCTCCCCGGGAGCGACCTCTGTCCACACGACTCATGATAGGCCGATTTGTCACCAATGCCAAGCCAATCAGAACACCACTTTGGCTCGCGGCATATTCCCAAATGGCTGGCCATATAGAAGTCGTTTCCTCTGGCCCACACCTCAGCAGCACAGAAGAACATTGGAGAGTGGAAGCAGATGGGAGAAAGAAAAAATACAGTAAAAAATAGCCCCCTGAGAAGCAACACTGCACTGCTGGACACTAAGTTGCAGGATGGAGTTCAAAAAGAAACCGCTTCCCAACATTGTTCCACGCCATCCTTGCTCCCATTCAGACAGGAAAAGTTATCCTAGTCACAACCAGCATGAAAAGCTTTGGGGGTGTGTGGAGGAAATCCCAGGCTGTTCCAATAAATGGAGAGGGGGGAAAAAGCACTGGAGTCCACGATTTCTTGCCCTCATAGGCTAGGCTCTTGCTTTGCTCTTACAGGCTGGAGCAGAGAGTCAAAAGGAGGGCTGTGGACGCCAATCATATTTGCCTCACGCTGCAGCCCTTAAATAGAAAACACATGAGCAATGTTGAATAAGGGAGGTGGGGGTGGAGGAAGGGAAGAGGGGAGGGCGCAATGGACTGTTTACTTGAAACAGAAGAAGAAGAGTTACAGCACCAGATTTTTTGCTTACAGATTTCCCTTCTCCTCCACTCTTCTTTCCCCTTCCAAACAAGTCTCCCCAGAATTATCCCCTTGTTAAATTAACATGTACACACACAGCCATCTGCTTCTTACATGTAGGAAAACACTTCAGATAGTAGTAACACTCCTGCCATGCCTTTAGCATTTCCTAAATGCCTGGATCCTTTCTTCCCTCCCCCGCTCTCTTTCTCTCTCTATCACATACACAGACACATTCTCTCTTTCCTCTCCACATTTCCTTTTCTCAGATGCCCAGGTCTAGTTCTTAAAAACAGTGTTAGAGTAAATTTCCCACCACCACCAACACACACACCAGTTTTCTGGTTCACTTTGTTCATCTCGGTTATATAAGCACAGAAACAGGGGCATTCTGCCATTGGGGATAGGATAACTTTTATGTATGTTGCCCTGCAAGCTGCCGAAGCAGCGCGCCTGTCCTCTCTCATCGGTCGCTCAGAATATTAAAAAGGGCCTATCCCGCCCACTTCTGAACACCCACAGGAAAACCGACTCTCGTTCATTGCTCCCCAGTGCCTGCAAGAAAGAAATATGTGCTACAAAAGCATTTTTTAAGCCAGTACTTTCAAAGCCCCCCCTTTCCCCTCCCTCCCCCACCCACTTACGAACAAAGGACTTCCTCTCAGAGACCTTAAAGCCATTAAGTTCTGAGAGATGTTTATAAGCATATTGTGCCTTCAAGTCACCGTTCACTTATGGCGACCCCATGAATTTCATAGGGTTTCCCTAAACAAGGAATGCTCAGAGGTGGTTTTGCAAGTTCCCTCCTCTGAGGCATATTGTGTACAGGCAATTGTGCACATCGAGGTGGACCTTTCTTTCCTCATGAAGAATGGTACTGTTTTGCATCCACTTACTTCCCTGGGCTCTTGAAGACAACAGTCAGTCAGATACTGATGATGACTTTAGCATGCTTTAGTATCAGATAGCATTCATCTGATGCTCAGAAGATGAATTCATCTCGATGCTTAAAAGAATGGTGCAGATGACTAACAGATGACAAAGAGTGCAGTCCTAGTGTGCCTGTTTACTCAGAAGTAAGCCTGGAAGACTAAGTTGTACCTGATGGGTTAGATTTACTTTAGACTTTAAGAAAGCACAATTTTTAAATTCCGCCAGGGTTTTGAAATACTGCCTTTTCTACTACAGTAATATCAAATGTTAATATATCAAACTAAAATCTGTTCTAGCAGTTGTGTATAGATTGCATTGTATGACCACAATGGAATTGAATCTAAACAGAAATTCCCCAGACTTCTGTGGAGGTGTTAAAGGGTTATTACAATGGGCAATCCCTTTCCAGAATGCCTTATATAACAAGTCCTATTTGCTTCCTGTTCTGCCAGCTTTATTTCAGCAGATCACCAGCATGCCCTATGAGCCTCTAGTGGCACAACTCTTGTGCCGGCAGGGCTGCTGACCAAAAGGTCAGTGGTTTGAATCCAGGGAATGGGGTGAGTTCCCATATGTCAGCTCTAGCTTCTCATGAGGGGATATGAGAGAAGCCTCCCACAGGATGGAAAAACATCAGGATATCCCCTGGGCAGCATTCTTGCAGACGGCCTATTCTCTCACTCCAGAATGACCTGCAGTTTCTCAAGTCGCTCCTGACACTGACACACACACACACACACACACACACACACACACACAAACCGAGCATGCACTTCCTACCAGATGCAGGTTCTATCAAGAGCTATTTCTTTGCTGCCAAGCTGGGGTAGAGTAGATCAAGGAGCCTACAAAGACAAGGCACTATGGGAGGAATGACATGGGAAATTGCTTATGCCTTTTCTAAGTGCCGTGGTTCTAAGGCTTCCTTGGTATATGCTGACTGGTTGTTGGTCTTCTATTTCCACAAAGAGAATCACAGAAGTACAAGAGATGCAAAAGGCCACATGGGTCATCTAATTCAATCTTTTTTCATGCATAAATATACAACTAAAGCACTTTTCAAAGATGACCATCCAATTATTTAAGAATCTCCATGTGGAAAGTCTACCACTTTCCAAGACACTATCCCCTTGCTGGACAGCTCTTACTTGGATATGTTTAATGTGTTGTCAAAGGCTTTTATGGCCAGTATCCTTGGGTTGCTTTTCTAGGCTGTATGGCCATGTTCCAGAAGAATTCCCTTGTGAAGTTTCGCCTATATCTATGTCAGGCATCCTCAAAGGTTGTGAGGATGCCTGCCACAGATATGGGTGAAATAACAGGAGAGAATGCTTCTGGAACATGGCCATACAGCCCAGAAAACTCACAGCAACCCATTGATATGTCTGTCATGAAAGTTCTTATAGTATAGTTGGTTTTATCCTATAAGATCCTTGCCAGTGGTACTGCTTAAAATCAAAGAATGGGCACCCAGTTCAGTTAATCTGTTTTTGGTTCATTTGCCTCCTGTGTCCACTCAGATAATTTCCCTCTTATCAGGACATCTCCCTTACAATTGGAGCCCCACTCAGTTGAGTCTAATAGTTTTTTTCCGGCAGAAGCAGGGGTAAAAGGACCCTTTACCAAACATTCCCCTTCCCTGTCAAATTCATACTGCCTCCCATGCAGTTATCTAGTTGGTTCCAACTATCCAAAGCTCTTTTTATAGAATGGAAAACCTCTGAAGTGAGATTTCTTCATAGATTCCGCCAGACTGCCTATTAATTGAATGTGGACTGGGGCCCTTCCAAGATTTTTCAGGAAGGCGCTCTCTGCACTTTTTACTTTCCCATGAAGCAAGAGGCAAGCAAAATATAGATGCAAAAGTGGAAAATGCATGAGGATTACTGTGGGATTAAGGTTTCCACTCTTATTCCTCCTAGTAAACACCAGAATTTCAGATTTGTCTTCCTTTTAAAAAAGGGTACTTGGAGATCATGAGTATCAGACGTACAATCCCTCAATGGCAGCATATTAAAAACGACAGGAGAGGTCTCTGTATGTGCAATGCTCATAGTTTAATCACCTTGTTCCCAGTGAATGGATATCTGATCACAAGACTATTCACATGTCTGGCCTGCTCCATCATTTTATGTGGCTCCTGGACTTTCAATGCAAGGGCAACATATTTATATTTCTATAGTCTTACAATGACAACTGGCCCTTTTAAGGCAACTATTAAGGCTGATGTGGTCCTCAGTGAAAATGAATTTGACACACTTGCTTTAGGATCACCATAATTTTGGAAATGGGTTGACAATAAGAAAAATACAGCCAAATTCAATTCTCAAAAAATAATATCCTGAAATGGCAAATCAATACTATGTGCTATTCCTAAATGGAAAAAATGGAGATTTTTTTTAAAAAAATCTATAATTATTTCTTAATAGACATGAAGATATAAAGACATAACTATTCATTTTGCAAGGAGAAAGTAAATTGAAGAATAATTTTGTATATCATTTATATATGTATATGTTAAAATGAGTATTTCCAAAAAATCTTTCTTTTTGAAACTTGATTTTATGTCCAAAGATGTCAAAGTAGTACCACAGTGATGAGTCCTCTCAAAAGTCTGTAAGTTAGCCACAATAGTCCACACACAATAACCTCTTAATTAGATTACAATAATGCACTTTAATGAGGCTGCCTTTAAAGATTTGAGAGCTGCAGCAACTCAACTGTTGACTAGATTATCATATTGACAGCATGAAATGCCAGCCTTAAAATAATTGCACTGGATACTTATATATCTATTAAAGATTGTGACATTTCAGAACTGTAAAGGAAATCAATATTTGAGGACTGCCTCTTCCCATATGTACCAAGACTTAGATCTGTGGGGAGGCTCCTCCTCTGTGACCATCAGTGAGATTGTAACACTCTATCTGGACATGGGAGAGGGCCTCCTCAGTTGTGGCACCCCAACTATGAACTGTTGTCTCTTTGGCATCCCTTTAGGTATCAAGCTAAAACATGGCTGTTCACTGAACTTTTTGCACCTCATTAATTCAGCCCAAATAATATTATTTATAGTTCTGAAAACATTTATTTTTTTAAAAAATGTTTTATATAGAGTGGAGTGTGTGTGATTTCTTGTGAATTTTTCCATGAATACATTGTTTGAAATCTTGTGAAGCCACACTTCCAGAGTGTTCCAGATCTTCCAGAGTTTTCTAGTGCACATCCATTTCCAATCTTACTATTAAAAGTAAAGCATTAATGAGTTTCTTCCACTGGAGTGTTCTATTTTGATCTTAAAACATTGGCACCCATAGAAAAATTATAAATTTAGAATTTGTTTTATATGTAATTTTTGGTGGGACTTTG